ACATCTTTTTAGTAAATACTAAGTCATTAAAATAAATTTGAATTCAAATAAATGACATGTAATTCGTTAAACCTATTAGAAATGTGCTATAGTATAAAATCTTAAGATAAAATTTCTAAAACTGATATCTCTTTAAAAAGGTTAAAATTTTGGCTATAATTAAGTTTATTAAAAATTGAAATAAGTGAATTGCAATGGAAAAACCTGCATAAACAAATAAATTCTAGTAAAACAAATAAATTCGACTTCTCTCTTCTGCCTAGCTTATGCTCTCTCTGGTTATTTCAGTTTCCGTTTTTAAAAGCGCTATATGTTGAGCCATCTAAGCTAGATTTGGCATGTGACATTTTTAGCGGCAATGATTGGTCAATTTTCTAGTGTTGCCATTCGGGGAGTTGTAATGAGGCCTTTTTTTTATCGCCGTGTAAGAGAAATATATATATAGATATTTTTTCCTATTTTGAATGTTAGTTAATATAGTTATTCAACTCATGTAATCATTATTTTTATGATGTCTTAACACAAGCTAACAGAATTTACTAGAGATGCGTTGGCCACAATTTCAAATAGTTGCGTGTCTTCAACGCCTAACAAAATTGTCGCCAAAAGTTGTTCTAGCTGTCTAGCCTCCTTGTATAAGTGTTGTTTTCGCATTACTTTGCTCAGGGGCGAAATGTAGTCGAATGTTTCATTCTACCAAAAGTTAAACAAGGCTTATTAAATTATTTTTGTGCAAGTATTACTTAGAGCTAATTTCTTACACTCACTAGTTAAAAAAGATTTAAACGTAAATGTATGTGATTCTAAAGAGCTAAAGTGGAACGCTATTTAAAAAAATGTAATTTAATTACAAGAAAGTAAGTACATAAATGAATCATTTTTAATAAAAAGATTTAAAAAATAATTAAATTAAATGAAACATGAATTTTACCCAATAGTCTTATTGTCTTGTAACTAATTTCTAAACTTAAAAATTTACAAATTAATAAGAAGTTCTTAAAGCCCGTAATTCTACGTGGCTCACATGCTGTTTACTACATTCTATTCAATTGAGGGATTTTGTAATTTTAATTAGCTTTTCTCACGTTCACGTACGTAACATCTGGATTGGAAAAAAATGGCTAAACGTTAAAAAAAAAGTTATTGGAAAGTATTTTTATAGTGATCAGTGCTTTTTGTTGTCCTTTAAATAATAAAATCATAAAAAAAACATTTTGCATTGGTTCTTTTACTACTTAAATAACAAGATAAAATTATAATTTTTTTTTTATCCTCGCGAACTACGAATAACAACAGACAATTATTGTTGAAAATTTTAAGAACAAAAGTCGCATTTGACAGATTTTTAAAACTTGTAAAAATATTATATTTAATGAATGCAAATATGTAAGCAGAATACTTTAAACTCACATTTTGCTTTCCCATATAGCCAAAACAAGTACATCAATGTTTGATATTTTTATAAACTTCATTAAATTTAAAAATGTTGGTTGTCTTTTTCAGCTACGCCTCCCCCCGTGAAACCTCGACGCCAGACGACCGGTCCGTTAATCACGCTTTTCAACAATATCATATAATTTCCATTCAAAACGGCTAAAATAATCCAATTAATTTTAATTTTATTATTTGTCGCCTTTTTCGATGACTTTATGTTATCAGATTAAGCAAAACTCGTTTTCAGACGTTTATCCCTCCAAAAATTTTCAGTATCATTTGGTATAACACTGTTTGCTGTCACTTCTGATAATTATAAATTGCTATAATCAACAATGTTCTCAAATATCTATCCCCTACTTAAGAACTTCCCAATGACTTTATGTTATCAAATAAGGCGAATCATATTTTCAGAAAGCCACCCTTTCAAAAAATGGATAAGATTCAGTAATATGGTTATCTTTATTTTGATCTAATTAATTTAATTTAATTTAATCTATTATTGATCTAATTAATGTAATTTAATTTAATCTATTACTGATCTAATTAGTTTAACTTAATTTAATCCATTATTGATCTAATTAATTTAATTTAATTTAATCTGTTATTAATCTAATTAAATGAATTAGTTTAAACGTGAGCATCAATATAAGAAGCACATAACCTCATGTACCTTTTAAAATACGAATTCGGAGACGGCGTTCTCATACGTAATTATGAACGTTTATTTAATTGGTGATAACTACGATGCCGGTTATCGCCGTATGGTTGTTGCAATATTTAACTCCAGGAAAATAACTAAAATTGCTTAAGTAAAAAATTGATTTATTAAAGTAAGAATTAGTATACTTAAAAAAATGGCCATATCCAAAATATACAAATCATAAGGAAAAGTAATTTCCCCAAGAGATCAATACTAAACACTCTCCCACATCGAGAGTTTTTGATAGCATGAATGCTATTTTAACGGATGGGATTGGGAGGACAGCAGGGGCACCCCCAGTCGCCCCAAATTTAAAATTGCAAGTGAATGAATTTATTCCTAACGGACACACGAGCATGAAGCGGAGATCTCAAATTGGCGAATTATCGAAATATAACAGATCCAAAATAAAGCCAACCCGGATAATCAATATTAGGTGTGAAAATACCCTGGCGATTGCGGATCGCCAACAAGACTGTGAGAATTATTATAACCATGTAACTGAAACATATTTGCAGTAAGAAATTAATAATAAAGAGTTATAAATAGATTTTTGTTTTCGATCAGGCGTGGCAGTGAATTAAGGAGTCTACATTAGTATTGAAATAAAAAATTAGCCGTTACATTGATCGATAAGAAAAGAATAAAATATTTTATGCTCGCTTTTATAAAGATTTACTTAATGATTTAATTTAAATATAATTCGATTAATATGATTAGAAAAATAAGTTTAAGTAATTAAAGATATTTTAAAAGGTAGGAAATATGTAATACCAATTGTGGCATCACAATAACCTAAGATAGAAATCCTATAATAAATAGTTCATAAGAACGTACAACCAATTTTTGATTAATTAGAGCTCCAATTTTGCAAAGTACTCATGTTATAAAATATTAATCAAATCCTGTGGAATCATGCTAACTGTTGATCGGAGGGAGTTTTCAAGTAAAAAGTTTGGTCCACCATGCGTTTGTATATACACCACGCTGCAAATCGATGGATTTGCTGTTTTGTATAAGGTACAGATATACAGACATACATGCAAACATTCTTTTTTACATAGATTTGGTTTGTCTTTAATTTATTTTTGCAAACGTAGTTGTAAATGTGCCAAAAAAGCAGGGAAGACAAAATGTTTCATGCTTTTAAAGCAGTATTTTTTTAAAATTAAACTAATCAATTAACTTACCCACAAACTTGAGGTAATAAAGTGTCATGATCCTGCCCAATTAATTTGAGGAGACCTGTATAACAATTGGTTGCTCTCCATTCAACTATTTTAGGACTGCACAGCAGACTACTTGGTTCTGTTGTAGCTAAAGCTACATGAAAGATAGCACATTTTCAAACAAGCCTAAGGGAATACTAACAGATTGCACAGTTCAATAACATACGATTTAATAACGAGTTTTTGTCTTAGTTAAGAAGCAATCATATTTATCACGAAATATTATGGGTTTTTTAAATGTGATCTGGACCACCTGTTCTCAATTTTTTTCGGGTATGTTCCATTACCGAAAAAAATTATTAATGATTGCCTTTTTTCAGCGAAACCAAAGCTTCATAAACTAGTTGTAAACATATTAACCAAAGAAAGTCCATTAATTATTTTAAAAATATTTAACACGAAAAATTAAATAATTTGATCGTTACACATCGTTAAGTACTTATTACCCATTGGCA